TGAGGTCAGGAGTTCAAGACCAGCCTGGCCAACATGGTGAAACCCTGTCTCTAATAAAAATACAAAAATTAGCCGGGTGTGGTGATGCACACCTGTAATCCCAGCTACTCAGGAGGCTGAGGCGGGAGAATCGCTTGAACCCGAGAGGCGGAGGTTGCCTTGAGTCAAGATTACGCTGCTGCACTTCAGCCTGGGCAACAGGGCGAGACTGTCTCAAAAAAACCAAAACAAAAAGACAAAGAGTTTGGATTACTTAAAAATGATTTATTTTAAAAAGCACTGGAATAATTAACAAATGGCCATGTTTCTTTGTTTTTAATAAATTCCTGGAGAAAAGGAAACCATTCATTAATACATATATGAATGTAGAACTGCAAAAAGTTGCTGGTTTTTATGTTTACACTTGAAAAACTTACATTCATTGCTAAAGTTTAATTTCTTTTTAATAAATAATACATTTTATCCGTTTTATTATTATTTATTTGGAAAACCTTTTCTTAATTTCTGAAGGGATGACACGGTCAAAAAATGAACTTGGCCGAAATGAAGACTTCATGAAGCTCTATAATCATCTAGAGTGTATGTTTGCACATACACGTAGTACTTCAGCAGATAGTGTTTCTGCTATCCAACAAGGTCTGGTTTTTCTTTTAAAATTATGTATTGCATTGTGTTTCTTAATCAAAGTTAATTTTGAAATTTTGCTCCTTTGATGCAAATGTCTACAATTATTTATATTTTGTAGCAACAGATCTGTTAAATGTGTAACTATTTCATTTTTAAAGTTAAGATTAATATATACAAGTTTAAAGTTTATATGCCTTAAACAATGTTTAAACTATAAACATGTAACAGATGTTAGTAGTTGTTAGTGGTAGTGAAAATTCTCAGAACTATCAAAACCTGATTTATAGTTTAAAATATATTTTTGCTTTGCTGCTGGTTCTTGTTTAGGTTCTCTCAGAATGAAATTTTTATGAAAGTTCAAAGTTCATTTTACAGTAAGACTTATGTGCTATCTAGATGTTACCTCTGGTTTAAATTAAAAAAAAAAACTTTTTTTAAAGTCCAACATATGCATTGGAAAAGATAACTTTAATATACACTAGTGTAATTGAATATGGAAAAATTTTTTTTTTAATTGATATTTTTGTTTTTTTCCAGGAGATAAAAATAAAAAATTTGTTTATAGTCATCCAAAGTTAAAGAAATTAGAAGAAGTTGTAATTGAACACTTCAAGTCATGGAATGGTAGGTCATGTTTAGTAGCTTTAAGGCAAGGCAAAGTTATTGCAAGAGGTAGAACTTTACTTATGGCCGGGTATGGTTGTTCATGCCTATAATCCCAGCACTTTGGGA